GCTATATGTTTTATATATTCAAAATGGCCATTTTAATAATATTTTTTTTTCCTTCAAATGTGCAGCATGACCTCCTCAGTGCGTGTGTTTAATTTATTTTAAAGTAGGCCTGTGTATTATTTCTAATTCTCCTTATAGGAGTTTATTTGGTTTCTTATTAAGGGTTAAACAGTTTTATATATATGTAATAAATAGCCTAATAAATGCAAAAAAAATGTAGTTTTGGCTGATATAACAATAAATACAACTTTATTCAGCTATCAAAGCTATGAATATGTTTTGCGGCTCCAGACAAAATGTTTTGGAAAAAGGAGCAAAATGGCTCTTTTGGTCAAAAAAGGTTGCAGACCCCTGCTAACCAAAACCGAGCGAGGCCTGCGGTGGAAATGCGCCATTACCACTCTTTACGTCACAAACAAAGATGGTGGATGAGATAGATCTATAAAGACGATAAGCAATGCGCCAGAATCAAGGTGAGACTATCCGCATCTTTTTAAACTCTACGCACCATTCGTTTCACCGAAAATAAGTTAAAACCGACTGTAATTTGGAGTGAGTTAAGGCATTAGTCTTGCTTCATTAAAGGGGTGTTAATGAATAAGTGTTCTCCAGTGTGCCTTTTGTCCGCATTAAGGTATTATTATGGTAGGGTTTAATGTTGCTCTCAAAGTGCAACAGTATTGATGCTTTTACCTCAATATTTAGTTTTTAATATAATGTGAATAAATAGCCTAATAAATGCAAAAAAAATGTGTATTTTGTGTCTGATATAACAATAAATACAACTGTTATTAGCTATCAAGCCTATGAAATATGGTTTTTGCGGCTCCAGAGACAAAAATGTTTTGGAAAAAGGAAGCAAAATGGCTCTTTTGGTCAAAAAGGTTGCCAGACCCCTGGCCTACCAGACCCGAGCGAGGCCTGCCTTGGAAATGCGCTATTTACACTCTTTACTACGTCACAAACAAAAGATGGTGGATGAGAATAGATCTATAAAACGATAAGCAATTGCGCCAGAATCAAGTGAGATATCCGCATCTTTTAAAACTCTACGCACATTTCGTTTCCCAAAATAAGTAAACGACTGTATTGATGAGTGAGTTTAAGGCATTAGTTTGCTTCATTAAAAGGGTTTTAATGAATAAGTGTTTCTCCAGTGCCTTTTGTCCGCATTAAGGTATTATTAAGGTAGGTTAAATGTTTGCTCTCAAGTTCTCACCAGATTGATGCTTTTTAACTTCAATATTTAAAAAATATAATCCCGGGACCCCCCCTAGAGGAGGCGACGACCCCCTAAGAGGATGTTTCGGTCCACCCCCCGCTTGTAAAAAAATTACCCCACTTTACCCCTGCCACCCCCCCCCCAAACTATCCTGGGCTAAGCCCCGGATCTCCTACAATCCTAAATCCGCCACTGCTGCAGGGTAGCTTGGGAATTGGTGAAACTAAAGTTTGATTCAACACTTGATTATATTTCACATCATTCATCCACATCTGTAAAGTAACTAAAGGTATTAATACATGTAGTGGAGTGAAAGTACACCATTTACCTCTGAACTGTAGAGGAGAAGAAGTACAACGTAGCAAAACATTGAAATACTTAAATAAAGTACAAATATCTCAAAATTGAACCCAAGTATAGTACTTGAGTTTATGAACTTAGTTACTTTACACCAGTGCTATAAAGATAGAAAGACTTAGCCTTGCACAGAGGCATGAAAATGCATTTTCAAAATGCTCAACAGTGCTGCCAAAATTATAAAGTGACTGCTACACAATTAAAATAAATGCTTTTATATATTTTTATTAGATGTGACTCTTTGGCGTTTCTGTTATTATTAACACTGCTGCTTTAGTTGTTCTGACTTCTAAAATCCTCAGTGATTCCTAATTTTAAAGCCGATATTCCGTGGGGTCAGATCCTTGTCACCTTTTTTATACCTGAGGAGTTTGCATCCCTGCATCATAACAAAAACTGAATCCCCCGTTTGAGCAGATCGGCCATTCTAACCTGGGATTTTCCTGCCGGTAAGTGTGAAGGCAAGAATCTGCCGGATGTTGTTGATGCTTAAAAAATAATGTTAAACAAATCTAAAGTAGCCTAAATAGATAGATGGTCTTGCTTTTTGCAAGAGGACAAAGCAAGTAATTACTATAAAAGCAATAATACATTGTTAAGATGTTGTTGTCATATTACAAGTATATTAAAACGCTAGAAGGAGGCTTTGCCCAGCACCCAGATAGCTCCTTTCTGCCAAAAGATCCTATGTGGACACAGGGCCTTACCCTTTACACTTGAAAATGAATAAACAGGAGAAGCAGCCCTTCTCCTCCAATAAGTGTGAACCCCTTTAATGCCCCTTCCTAATCTGTGTATGACTGAGCTGCCAACACACCACTCCGTGTGTCATTGTCTCATTCCATACATTGCTCCAAGAATTATGCCTTCTATGGGGATGGGTTTTTAGCATAACCCACATTGCAATTATTCACTGCCTGGTGATGACAAAATCCTTCCATTCGTTTTCTGCTTTTGTTGGCAGCTGCACTGTACATTTACACAATAGGCATTTAGCACGGACAGCGTAATTATGACAGCACATCAGGGCTGAAAGTGCTGGGACAGCGCCAAGGCAAAAGCCGCTCACACCCTCATTCTTCAATGCCGCCCATGAAGATCATTATGGATGTAAATTAGTGCCGGTGGGACATGATGGCGGTAGAGAGTGGGGAGCACTGCGTCCCTGTACATCTTTGGAAAATACTACAGGGGGAAAAGTGTCTCAGGATGATCGTGTTCATAATTATTCTTAGAATAGGACTAAAAGTACTTTATGGCAAAGTTATATTTGAAGCTTCTTCCACTTATAGAGAGGGAAATACTACTGCAAAAGTACAAAGTAGAGTATAACGACATGTCTTTTTTAGCAGATTTGTAAATTAGAAACATGTTAATTAACCAAATGACAAAATACTTAATACATTTCAAATATTAGCCTTTCTTATACAGCAGCATTACTGAGTTTGTGTGGTTATCTTTTTCTATATTTTGCCCAAACCATGATCTTTCCCCAACCACCTTTCAACCCAACTTCTTTGGTCCAGGTTTGAAGTACGTTGTAGCGCATGGGCTGGGCAAAAGAGTTGAGGTCAACATTATCCAGGCGGCAATTACATACCTCTGAAACACATAAGACAAAACCATCAAGTAGTATAGTAAAGTAAAACAGTTTTTTTAGCCTTGCATAGTAGAAATGTGGGGTGTAATGGAAATTATTATTATAAAAGAACTGAAAGCTATGAAGTTGTATAAATAATAACATTCTGTAAGCTTTACATGTCCAAATATGGCATAGCTGAGATATCATTCCTCAGATGACCAGTCAGGAGATGACCATTGATCTGATCATGGATCTATTGTCCTTTGACACAATCATGGGTCAGTTATCTCAAGAAGACTAAGCATGTTTTCGTTGAAACTGTATAAAAAGATGACTAAAGACTCAGAAGTTAATTATTTTTGAATGACTTGGGTTACATTTGGAGTCTTACATCCAAATGTAAGACTGCATTATTTGTCTATAGCCCAAAACATAGTAGTTTCACAATAAAACCTCTACAATTTTGGAATGGCTACATCCCCCCCCATATTGATTTAAAAACTATCCTAAATATCTTATTTTTGGAATGGGATGAAATTAGTGTCGGCCATCTTTTCTATTTACACCAAGAGAACGTTTACAATCACGTGACATTTGCGCTGGCCGCTAGAAATGTAAAACGTAGCTAATTACCAGTTTTAAAGGTTTTATTGTGAAACTTCTACATTTTGGGCTGGGGACCAATGTAACTTTTAAACATTTTCAAGTGAGACTGGGTTGTAAATACTCCTAAACCTAAGAATGGAACCAAATATGTGTCGCTCTACATTTGGATCCAGCTAAGGCCGGTTTCTGTGAAGCTTGTTTAAACAAGTTTACTAATTGAGGTCTTTTCCCAGTGTGCACTTGGTGAGCCAACGAGTCAGTAGATGACCAATCCAACCAGTTTACATTTCAAAGTGCAAATCTCCTTCCTGCACCACAGTTAGCCCTGGCCCCTCCTGTCCCTTCATTATATCGGCACTAATTACAAATTCTTAAACCAGTGCCAGACATTACAATAAGACAGTGCAGTGAGCATATGGCATAATATCCTATTAATGAACACTCTAAATTCAAACTCAGGTCAGCGCTATCACGCCGGAGAATGTGTCACTGATCCGATGGAAGCGGGAGGGGGGAGCTGTGAGGGGTGGAAAGGGAGGTAGGGGAGGAGGAAGTGACCTTCTTCTAAAATGCACAGACTAATTTAAAGGGGGGGCAGCCCCTGAGGCCGTCTCATTGTTTTACTTGTTTAATTTTTTGCCAGCAATTATTGATATAATATTTTGATGGCAGAGCCGATGAAGGAGAAGTCATTAAGGGGACCAGAAGAAGGAGTCTTTCTTCGTAATTTTGCTTCGCCACTAGCTAGTCCTACTCATCCCCTTTTTTTACACTCTTTTTATTCTGCGTTTTCCCGACTGCCACTCTCCGGGGGGAAAGTTGGGCTATTTGCATTCGCTGTCACAACAGTGTGAGGAACAAGTTGTCGCCGTCTCACTGGCTCAGTCCTCAGCACGCTCAGCGTTTAATGGGGACTGTCAACTACAAGAGAGATGGATACTCTTCTCTAACCCTCCTGCTTTTGGAAAAAGGGGGATGCAAATAGACACATTTAGCATGATTGGCTCTGCGATTGATAGATGTTCCCCGCAGCCTGTTTCATTAGGATCTGGTTTTGGGAGTTAATCTGCTGAGATGAACCCTGTCTGAAATGACACAGGGTCGAATCCAAAGAGAAAGAGGACGATAAAGGTAGCCAAAGGTAAAGGAGCAAGACACTTCACCTTTATCTGAAATGGAGTAGTGATCAGTCCTCTCCTGTCAAGGGCTGAGAGGCCATGAAATGACTCCCACTGCGCATTTGGAACTGATAAACTGTACTGTCTTCTGAAATTCATATGGAGGTAAAGCCAAAACAACTTGTTCTTAGCGCGGATGAGGATCTTCAGGGGCTCATCATATTACACAGGGGCTCTTCTCTCTATGTCTCCCCGGGGATGGCTCACTCTCAGCGGGCCCCAGAGCTGGACCCCTGCCTCTGGCCCCTGCAGAGTGCTGCTGAGCCGTGTTTGTTTAAAGACCAGACTTAATCCTCCGCTGCAGCTTCAGGTTAGAGCTTTTTCTGTCACAAGATTAGAGCGCGCTTGTTCCTGTTTGTGTCCCGGTGTCCCGTTGTGTTAGCCTTATGTCGTCCTCCCTGGTCTCTTGGCCTTGGTTGTCTGTTCTACTCCCCGCTTTTGTGGAATATATTACTAACGGTACAATTAATTTATCGTCATTTGCCGCAGAGGCAGCAATGTAAGGGGGAAAAGAGGATTTCGCGAGTCATGGGGCTATGCTGGTCAGAACCGAAAGATTTGCCTGCTCGATTTGCCGGGCTCCTCAGCGGTCTTGTTCCCTCCCTATATAATCCAGGGTATCGAGTTCCCTCCCTAGATCACACCAGGTACCCGGAGTTCCCCCCCTAGAAAGACAGTTAGTCGGAGTCCCCTCCCTAGATAAGACAGGCAGAAGATCTTTCGGTTCTACAGGATAGTGGCCCATGACAACGCGAAATATCCTCTTTCCCCCCTTTACATTGCTGCTCTGCGGCGCATGACGATAAATAATTGTACCCGTAAGTAATATATTTACAAGCGGGGGAGATAGAACAGACAACACAAGGCAAGCAGAGACACAAGGGAGGACGACTAATAGGCTACCACAACGGGACCACGGGACACAAACGAGAGGCAGTGGACTACAGATTAACGACGGGGGGAGTGGACACAGAACAATCACAGACACATAAATTCACGACAAAGAACTCTCACCCTCACACACACTCTAGGACACATCCCGACGTCACCGAGCGCACTTGTCGTCGTCCCTTAACTCCGACACACTTGGAACACGTGTACACAAATTATTTACGGTGCAGCAAAATAAAAACCTGGCAAGACGGAGACGGAGGAACGAACCAGCCCAGCGAGTTGCCAGTTCGAAATGTGTTAGGCTAGAAGTTTGGTAAATGTGTGGACTGAAAAAGCAAAGGCGTAGAGGTATGAAAGTCAATGTAGACAAAGATATCAGATGTGGACGTCGGGGAGCGCTCGTTGGGGAATCTGGGGGAGGGGGTGGGGGGTGTCTGACGCTGGACNTCCAAACAGCATAATAACCAGACTGTATCATTAAAACTAAGTACCAGTTCTAGATCCTTGACTTTAGACAAACAATTAAAAAACAAAATGTATTTAAAGACCAATCTTTATTTGAAGGTGCCTCTTAACCTGAGATATTTGTTATACAGTAATAGTATTGACAATCTAAAAAAACTGAGCAACTCAACAGTCAACTTTATATTTCTTATTTTCTAAAGCATTTATTATTTTAATTTTCCCACTCTCATATTCAGTGTGGACGGATTGAGACAGCGTGGTGTCCAGAGAGCTGCAGAGCAGTGTTAATTTTGGCAGCTGTTTTTGATTTAGTCTTTAGACGAAAATGGTTATTAGTTTTAGTCACATTTTAGTCATTCCTATCCTTCGTAGTTTTAGTCAACTTTTAGTCGATTCATCGACTAAAAGTTGACTAAAACTACGAAGGATAGGAATGACTAAAATGTGACTAAAACTAATAACCATTTTCGTCTAAAGACTAAATCAAAAACAGCTGCNCAATCTTCAGTCAGATGTGAATGTGGAATCTAACATTTTCAGTAAGACTAATGGAAAAAAGGAGTGCAAATACAAATACAATTTATTGAAATGTGAACCAAAAGTTAATCAAACATGTTTTAAATTAAAAAAAACATATGGACAGAAGGTGTAAACCTATTAAATGTATAAGTAAACACATGTAGTCAAATAAAGTGACAGGCTAGGCCTGTGCAGTTGGTATCAGCTTTGCCCAGCATGGGCTCCTCCATCAGACCAGGTCCTCCTCGCAGAGGAAAGACCCTCAGTCCTCTCCAAACCAACAGACAGGACGTCCATCACTGCAGCTCTTGGACACC